GGGAAGGGCAGGGCAGGGCGGACGCACATCAGCACCCGCTGGAGAGGAACAGCCCACACACCCTGTGATCCGAGGCAGCAGCTGGTGCGTGTTGCGGCTTGAGCGCGACACTAGGGTCTGCTGCGCTGCCCCTCTGGCCTTCTCAAGGCCGCTGCTGCCGCCACGCCGGCTGCCCTCGCGACTGCCTGAGATGCCTGCGGATGGGGCCCCCGCCAGCGAACCCCTCCGCCACGGCGCGCGTCAGCACCCGCGCCCTCACGACTACCAGTCCGCCTCCTCTCCAGCGCGGGTGCCGCCGGCTGTTGCCGGCCCCTGGAACCCTACGGCCCCCCACCTCGCCCCCCAACAAGACTCCGCACCTTCTTGTGGAACACGGGCTTGGTCTGGCCACCAAAGCCGGCCTGCTTGCGGTCGTAGCGCCGCTTGCCTGCGGAGGGGGGGGGGAGGGCGGGGGTGATGCAGTCACGGCAGGGCAGCGCGATCGAACGCGTGGCACCGCGACTGCTGCCAACCGGTTCGAGGGGCGGCGCGCCCCCAACGCGTGGACAGGCAGCTGCTCGGTCGCGCTGGAAGGCCACCGGCCTGAAGATGCCTGGCACTGCGGGCTGCCTGAGGGGGCGGCAGGGCGCCCCGCACACAAGCCAAACTGCCGCACGTCCACGGCAGCTCGCTGCACCAGGTATATGGTGCTGATCTTGCTCAAGCTGGGGACGTCGTTTGAACCGCGACTGCCACCGCAGGAGGGGCCTTGCCCGCCGCTGGGCGGCTGCCGTGGGTCTCACCCCCTCAGCCTGCCACCCCTGGACCCCGGACACCGCCATCGCCAGTATCTCTCTGTGTGGGGTGCGGCACCCCCTGGAGCGAGTGCGCACTCACCCTGCGCGTACAGGCTGGCCTTGCCAGTCTTGTACTGCGTGACCTTCATGGTCATGTGCTTCTTGCACCCCTTGCAGAACGCCTTCTTGGTCTTGGGGATGTTCACCTGCGCACACAGCCACGATGGGCAACCATTGCAGCGCTGTCGTCAGTACAGCCTCAGCTGCTGGCGCGATCTGCGTCCCTGGGTCGTCCAGGCTGCTGCACTGGGGTGCACAAGTGCTCTCCAGCTGCGCCTGCCTCGCTCTCAACAGCCCAAACATGGCTGCTTGACGACTGTGTGCAGCCGCTGCTTGCGCACTGCGCCACGCGCCGCGCCGCGCCGCCGGAACGCGGCAGCGCCGCGCTGCGGCCGAGTTTCTCGAGAAAGCCTCTACACATCGCATGCTCGCCCGCTGCCGTCCCAGGAGGCGCGGGCCACAGGGGCCGCCCAGCGTGGAGGCTAATGGGAGGCCCGCACCATCTTGAACCACGTCCAAAGGCCTGCCCAAGAAGCACTTAGAGAGAAAAGGGAGGTCCAGACAGCGGGGGCTGCTTTTGGCGCGGGTCGCCTATTGAAAGCTGAGCGGACAACACAATGTCAGAATGGGTTAGAAGATACCGTGAGACTCTTTGGCCCCGAATATTACTCAAAGTGGTAAATTTCTTTTACGGGACCTGCAGGCTGTGTGCTACGCGACCCACATGCATGTCCCGCAAGCGCCGCCCAGGGGGTGCGCTTGCCGGTGAGGCCACGGCCAGCCTGCCAGGCCAGGAAAAGGCGGTTACATGGTGCATATCCCACATGAAAGTGCTTTAGCTCACAATCGCAAATGTATAGCGCTTGGGATGCAGCAAGTGCGAGGGAGGTCAGGAAACCTGAGTGAGACCAAATCCAGCGGAGCCGAACTGCACAACAACAACATGCGCGTGTGCATGCCGCTTGCAGGCAGGCAAGAAAGCAGGGCCTGAGCACGGCGCGTGCATCAGGCGTAAATGAGTGATGCGGCACCACCTCGGCGCCGGAGAAAGCAAGGGGAGCAGTAAGGCAGCAAGGCACTGGGGTGGACGCGGTGCGTGTTGCAGGATGAGGGTTTGGTTTTTATCAAAGGAGAACGCAGCCCCAGCATAGACAGGAGGCAGCAGTGCACGCCTCTCAGCAAATGGCAGCAGACGCATGCGCTGCGTCGCTCGGTGCATTGGTTGCGCGCTCTGCTGCGGCGGTGGGCGCTGGCGCGGGGGTGGGAACAAAGATAAGGGTCCCGGCTGCTCGACGGTTGCGGCGTGCCCGGGGCGCCCCTGATCCCTCACTTCTCCGTCTTGGAGGGCTGCTGCACGTTGGACCCCGGGGTCCGCACCACAATTTCCGCCAGCACGGCGCCGTCCTCCCAGCCGGCGTGCGGCACGGGGATGGCCACCACCTCCCCGGGCTGGCCCTGGGGGGGCGCGGTCGCGCTCGGCGCGCCCGGCCAGCCGCCGCCGATGCCGACCTGGCGGACTGGGCCCGGCGCCACGGTGCCCGCGTACTTGGCGCGCTGCGGGGCGGCCGCGGCGGAGGGGTGACGGGCGGGTGAGACCGCGGCTGACGAGGCGTTTTGCAGGGGGCGGGATGGGGGGAGAGGGCCGTGTGCTTTGATGTGAGGGAGACAGGATGCCATGGTGGGCGTGAGGAGGCCGCACCCCTGCACGCCGTGCATGATGTGTGGTGCTGGCAGTCCCCGGCGCGCCGCATCCCGCCCACAGCGCACCGTGTGGCAGGAGCAGCCGCAGCAGTCTGTGCGGGGCAGCTTGTCCAGCTTGCCAATGTAAAAGAACGCCAGCAGGACCAGGAACCTGGGGGGGCCGGTGGGGTGGCCAGCGGCAGAGCGGATGAGACTCAGCGCAGGCCAACCCTTCGCCTGGACTGTGTACCAACGCTGACGGCCCGCCCAGACCCGGTCGGCGAGCAATGCAGGCGCCGGGGGCACCCTATGTGCACACCGTCGCCGTCCACGCCATCCCTCGCGCTTGCCCCCCAACCTTTGCCCCCATGGTCCCGC